GTTGTTAATACAGATTAAAAGTTATGTAATAATATACTGTAAATTCCAAGACTTTGTCAAAATTTTAATAAAGCAAATTATATAAACTAGATTGATTTAGTTGAAAAGCACTTTAAGTAGATAAATAACTAATAACTTTGTGGATGGATAAGCTATTAACTATGATTACCAACGAAATTTTAAAACAGTTAAAGATATAAAGAAGAAGATATTATGTAAAATCCATCTATATATACATTTTAGTTTTCAAAAATGAAATTCATCATTTTCTAAAATACATTCATCTTTCGTCTATTGAGTAAAAAAGATATCAAATAATATATAAAGAAATTAATATTTCGCCAAGAACATCACTTATTAAAAAATATCTTGAAACGGTTTTTGTATATTTTTTTATTCTGGCTGTACGTCCCTTCTTGTTAAATAATAAAACTTTAATATTTTTTATTAAACTCTATATTTTAACTCTCCTTGAGAGTCATCATCAGGATTACGATTATAAGTTAATATTATTAAAACTGCATAAACGTGCTCCTCTTTGTTCTATCGTCTTTATTGTTTTATTATTTAACAAGAAGGGACCAACAGCCAGAATAAAAATATATATATATATCCCATTTTAATAAACAGGTCGAAAAATAAATTTAGAAAATTTTAATGTCTTTAAACTTTATTAAAAAAAAAACGATTTTGATAGTTTAGAGAAGTTCAGCATTTTCTAGTATATCTACTAGAAATTCAAGAAAGGTAATGTCTCCTTTAACATGCTTTTAGATAAAATGGTAAGTTAGGGAACACAATTTCTAACTTAGGATGTAGATTTATGTTAAGTACATTTATTTTTTGTATCATATATATATTTTTTGTATATAAATTGTATCATACCATATATATCATATATAATTTATAAATCGGTTTTTTAAACACAATGCAGATAGTGTCAAATTAATCGATATATTACTGAAAAATATTACAGTTTTGATATAAATACAAAATTAATTGCGTTGTTTTCATATGTTAACTAATCAGACAATCAGACAATGTAAAATCATTTATTCAATAAATTTGAATGTAAAAACATACCATAGATCAGCAATAATTTGAGTTAGATCCAGTAAATGACTGACACGTTCATTATTCATTAATTCGACATATTAGTTATACGAGAGAAGTTAGTTATGAAGTTTTTATACTAAACATTAAGTATTAAATTTTCAGGACAGAGCACATCCTAACATATCTGTTCAGTTGCTTTATTTATTTATAAATTTATTATGTATTATCTCTGTACCAACGCTTCTTTTAAAAGCTAATCAAATAATCTATTAAAATAATAACTTATATTAAATGTCAGTGCACTGTTTAGACCCCATTCACAAAATTTAACAATATTTCTAGAGAGCTACAAAAATTTTGTATCAGTAAACGTTTGATGTCTATAGTAATACGTAATGTATTATTTTTCCATAATTTTTATTTTTTTTTTATAATTAATTTTATTAAGACATTTTGTAAACATACAATATTCTTTTTTTGTTTTTTGTTTTGAACATTTTGTAAAAAAAATCAAATTAAATCGCTACAATGATAATCTTTACTAATGTCATATATCCTTTTTTGTACTTCCACTTTAAACTGGCTGTAAAATATAATTGTAGAATTACCGCTTCACCGAGGTACTTTAAAATATTCACATAAGAATCCATTCAATAAAATTAGATTTTATTTCTACACTATTTTTTTTTAATAGAAATTAATAATACATTTTTTCATTTACGCAGCACCTTCAGGGCCACCTGTTGGATTTGTAGGTTCAGCTCGATCAATGTCAGAAATTATAACGCAATGGCAACCGCCTTTGGAAGAACATCGCAACGGACAAATTCTTGGCTATATAATACGTTATCGTCTATTTGGTTATAACAATGTACCTTGGACATATCAGAATATTACAAATGAAGCGCAACGAAACTATTTAATACAAGAACTCATCACTTGGAAAGATTATATAGTACAAATCGCAGCTTATAACAATATGGGAGTGGGTGTGTACACCGAAGGAGCTAGAATAAAAACAAAAGAAGGCATACCGGAAGCACCACCTACAAATGTTAAAGTTGTTGCCATAAATTCTACTTCAGTTAAAGTATCCTGGATACCACCAAATCCACAACAAATAAACGGCATAAACCAAGGATATAAAATACAAGCTTGGCGTCATGAAATGAACGATGATGACTTGGAAGAAACTGAAGCCCGAATGATCACAGTACCGCCAAGTCTAATTGATCCACTTGCCGAACAAATTGCTATTCTAAGTGGACTGGAAAAATTCACGGATTATAATATAACAGTTTTATGCTTCACAGATCCTGGTGAAGGTGTTCGTAGCTATAAAATAGCTGTTAAAACGAAAGAGGATGTGCCAGATGAAATTACCGCTTTGCATTTTGATGAAGTTTCAGACAGATCTGTTAAAGTGTTGTGGGCACCACCGAAAAATTTAAATGGAATTTTGACTGGTTATACCGTGCGGTATAAAGTTAAAGATCATCCTGAAACTTTAAAATCAGTTAATTTGACTGCTGATGATACACAGTTAACAGTTACACAATTACAAGCCACTACGCATTACTGGTTTGAAATAAAGGCATGGACTAAAGTTGGTGGGGGACCTGCAAAAACTGCAACAATACAGTCGGGAGTTGAGCCTGTATTGCCACATCCACCAACAAATTTGGCGCTTTCTAATATAGAGGCATTCTCGGTTGTGTTGCAATTTACGCCTGGGTTTGATGGTAACTCATCTATTACGAAATGGAAAGTGGATGCACAAACTGCGCGTAATATGACCTGGTTTACAGTCTGTGAAATATCAGATCCTGATGCAGAAACTTTAACAGTAACGGGACTAATGCCATTCACTCAATACCGTTTACGTCTGAGTGCTACAAATGTTGTGGGCTCTTCCCAGCCTTCCGAAGCTACCAAAGACTTTCAAACTATACAGGCAAGACCAATGCATCCACCATTTAATGTAACAGTGCGAGCAATGAGTGCTACACAGTTAAGAGTACGCTGGATTCCATTACAACAAACTGAATGGTTTGGGAATCCTCGTGGTTATAACATTACATATCGTCAAATTGAAAGCATAACGAAGGTATCAGCGAAATCTGTATTAATTGAAGATCATACTGCGAATTCGCATGTGCTAGAAGGTTTAGAAGAATGGACTCTTTACGAGGTTTTGATGAATGCTTGTAATGATGTGGGTTTCTCGAGGTAAATTTCATTTAACATTTCAAAGTTTAAAAATTTATAATTTTTGTTTTAATTTTTGACAGAGATAGTGCAATTGCTGTCGAACGAACACGTGAAGCGGTACCTTCGTATGGTCCTTTAGAGGTGCAAGCCAATGCCACATCCTCCACAACAATTGTAGTACGCTGGGGTGAAGTGCCGAAGCAGCATCGTAATGGTCAAATTGATGGCTACAAAGTGTTTTATGCCGCTACTAACCGTGGCGGTCAAGTGCTACACAAAACCATATCAAATAATGCTTCCTACACAACTACATTGACTGAACTAAAAAAATTCGTAATCTACCACATACAAGTACTTGCATTTACTAGACTCGGTGATGGTGCTTTAAGTACTCCTCCAGTACGTGTACAAACATTTGAAGACACACCAGGTCCGCCTTCCAACGTAAGCTTTCCAGATGTATCATTTTCGACTGCTCGTATAATTTGGGATGTACCTGAAGATCCAAATGGCGAAATCTTAGCTTATCAAGTGACATATTCATTAAATGGCAGTGTTAATCTTAACTACAGTCGTGAATTTCCACCATCAGATCGCACTTTTAGAGCAACACAATTGTTGGCAGAACGGTATTATATTTTTAGTGTCACAGCTCAAACACGTCTGGGTTGGGGTAAAACCGCCGCAGTTCTTGTTTACACTACAAACAATCGCGAACGCCCACAACCACCATCTATGCCACAAATATCGCGTAGTCAAATACAAGCGCATCAAATAACTTTTAGTTGGACACCCGGCCGCGATGGATTCGCCCCACTTCGCTATTACACTGTACAATTAAGAGAGAATGATGGTCCTTGGACAATACTGCCAGAACGTGTCGATCCTGCATTTACTTCTTATACTGCAATTAATTTGAAACCACATACTACATATCAATTTCGCATACAAGCGACAAACGATTTAGGTGCATCAGCGTTTAGCCGTGAAAGCATTGTAGTGCGTACACTCCCAGCAGCACCAGCAGTTGGGGTATCCAATTTGAAAGTGGTACCAATAACAACAACATCTGTACGTGTTCACTGGAATGCACTGGAAACTAGTTTGTGGAATGGAGACGCAGCAACTGGTGGTTATCGTGTTATGTATCAACAATTAGCCGATCTTCAAACAATTTCCTCAACCCCAAAAACAGATATAATGGGTATAAATGCAAATTCAATGGTGTTGACTGACCTGCAGCAAGATCGTAATTATGAAATTGTTGTGTTGCCTTTTAATTCACAAGGTCCCGGTCCTGTTACACCACCAGCTGCCGTTTATGTTGGCGAAGCTGTACCAACTGGGGAACCTCGTGCAGTTGATGCAGCTCCTATTTCTAGTACAGAAGTAAGACTACGTTGGAAACCACCAAAGCAAAGCATGCAAAATGGTGATCTCTTAGGTTATAAAATATTTTACTTAGTTACTGACTCGCCACAAGAGTTGGAAGAGGGTCGGAAATGGGAAGAAGAAATCGAAGTTGTTTCAGCCACTGCTACTTCACACAGTCTTGTGTTTCTTGACAAATTCACTGAATACCGGGTACAGATATTGGCTTTCAACCCAGCAGGCGATGGACCACGTTCACAACCTATAACTGTTAAAACATTGCAAGGTCTGCCAAGTGCGCCATTGAATTTACGATTTGAAGATATAACAATGCAAAGCCTTAAAGTATCATGGGATGTCCCAAAATTTCGTAATGGTGAAATACTTGGATACTTGGTAACCTATGAGACAACCGAGGAAAACGAAAGTAAGTCCATTGTAAAGCTAAAGATTCGAGGTGTAGGCAAATGTTTCAAATAAATTTTACATCTGTTATAGAATTCAGCAAACAAGTGAAACAAAAGGTTTCCAACACAAATTTACTTGTACAAAATCTAGAAGAAGAAGTTACTTATACATTTACAGTACGAGCACAAACCATTGACTATGGTCCAGCTGTTAGCGAAAATGTGACAACTGGTCCACAGGATGGCTCTCCAATAGCACCTAGAGACTTAATTCTTGCTAAAACACTTTCGAGTGTAGAAATGCATTGGCTTAATGGGCCTTCCGGCAGAGGGCCAATACTTGGCTATTACATTGAAGCAAAAAAGCGGGGTAAGTAGTTTTTTTTAATAAATATGTAAAAAGTATTATATTTAATTGATGGAATGGTTTTATAATTATTTTGATTGTACTTGCTTATAATTGGTTCTTAGTCTGACGAATTAATTAATTTTTTGGTAATGGTTTTTAATGTACAAAATTTCTTTCTTTATGTATTTTTATTTATTTGATTGATCTACAAAATTACGCTTCTAAACTTGCTTGAGTAGAAAGAGGAGAGCCAACATTTATTTGTGAGTATTTGTTCTTATAATAATGCATGTATTCTATAATAAGTAAAAATATGCAAAATAGTTGTATCAATCAATATTACATATTTGATATATAAAACATTTTCATTTATCACTATCAGCATCCTCATCACTGTCATCATCATCAATAGGTCTTAAATCTCACTATAACTCTTAACGCTTGGTTCATAAATTTATTATATAAAAAAAAAATAATTTTATAATAAACCAATTACGTTTTATAAACTATTTATAATAGAATAAGTTTATATGCTTTAAAAATAGCTTCTTATATGAATTAAATTAGCAGTTGTGTTACGATGACCGCATTTATTGACTATAAAGATATTTAGATTAAAATTCAAATCGCTTGTGTTTTCATTTATTTCATTATGTTCATTTCACTTGCTCCAAATTTTTTACCTGATGATCTGATCTTATCACTCAGTTATAAATATAAGGAATCATTTATTCCAATTATATTCAAAAGATCCACATAATAATTGGTTGCGGTACGTGGTAAATAACAAAATCTCTTAGAGATAGGAAATATCAACCAATAGAATAAAGTTCTCCGTTTGATAACCTCAAGTCATGACTAAGCCTTGAGAAATAAATATGGAAATTTCTATATATTAACCTTACTTCAAAAATAAGGTAAAACTAAATTATTTTAAATTATTTTTATTATTGAATGTTTTCAACGCTGTAATAGATTTTGTAAGATTTCTGTTGTAACTGCGTTTTATCAGTAGTATTTAATTTTTTTTTTTTTTGTTGCATTTTGTATTTTAAACATAAAATTTTTTTTATTCTAAATACTTACATAAAATTCTTAGAACATTGTTCTTTTCAATAAAGTGTTTATCGTGTGCTTTCTACGATGGAAGACTCAAATGGGAAAAATGGAAATAAATTTTTAATTTTTAAAATTTTAAATCATTTCATTTGCACTTTTAATTGTAACAAAATTATTTAGTCTGTGATAAATTAAAATTCAATTAATATTTAAGATCCTTCGAATTGAGTAACTTTGCTTAGAATCTGTAACCGCGCATTTAAACATAAATTTAGCCATTAATTCAATCAACCTGCACATTTACGAATGCATATCGCTGTATTAAAATAAATAAAATTGTTTCTTTCGCATATTTACAGACGATTCTCGTTGGGAGACAATTACGCGAACGACCACTGGCACCATGCAGGATTTTACTGTCAGCTATCAAAGTTTACTACCATCCACCGCCTACACATTCCGCGTCATTGCCTACAATCGTTACGGCATATCGTTCCCAGTGTATTCAAAGGACTCAATACTGACACCTTCTAAACTGCATTTGGAATACGGTTATCTGCAGCATAAACCATTTTACCGCCAAACGTGGTTTATGGTTGCTTTAGCTGCCACATCCATTGTCATAATAATCATGGTAATAGCAGTGCTGTGCGTAAAGAGTAAAAGCTATAAATATAAACGTAAGTTAACAGCAATAGAATGAAAAGTGAAGTAAAAACTAAATAAATTATACAGAATGTTATGGAGCGGCGACTGTTGTGTGCGCTGTCGTCCTCAAATTAAATTGTGCAAACAACATTTAATTATATTTGTTATTTTATTTCTTTTTACCGTTTACTGTTTTTGCTACCATAATGCAGAAGAAGCACAGAAAACTTTAGAAGAGTCAATGGCTATGTCAATCGATGAACGGCAGGAGCTTGCTTTGGAATTGTATCGTTCACGACATGGTGTTGGTACAGGCACACTGAATAGTGCTGGCACTTTAAGTCGTGGTACACTTGGTACGTTGGGACGAAAATCAACAAATCGACCACCAACAAGTTTGCAACTTGGCAAGAGTCCACCAAGACCTTCTCCAGCTTCAGTGGCATATCATAGCGATGAGGAGAGCTTAAAATGCTACGATGAGAACCCAGATGATAGTAGTGTGACGGAAAAACCATCCGAAGTTAGTTCGTCTGAAGCATCACAGGTAAAATATAAAATTAAAATTATTTCTGCTTAATATACCGAAACAGATAACAGTGACATGCGTTTAGGTATATACTTAATATTAATTTACATGTCTTGATTGATACTAATGAAGGTATCTGTCCTTCGTACATATTCCTTAGATTAACATTTATTATATAAGCAATACTATATTAAATATATAATACATCCATATATGTATCTGTCGCCAAATCAATCATATAAATTAGTTGTTCTTCAATTAAGACACAATTCAGTCTTCTTCATACTTTAAAGAATATAATTGCTCAATATATAAAATTTGAAAATTGTATTGGAATGTTAGCCCATGCTATTTACATATATTATTGTTATTCAGAAGAAACAACATAAGTATCTGATTATTGAAGAAATTTCATTGCAGATTTTATGTGTAGGATTTTATCATTCACTTCCAATAGAAATGACATATTCTTACCTTTCTTAAGAGCATAAACACCACACAACACAAAAATTTTGAATTTTGATATATAACAATTGTTTTTCTATTTATATATCAATTTAATATAAAATATTTGTTCTAGCCTGCTCAATTATTACAGCTTAGAATTAATATATTTAACACATTAAATGTAAGATCCTCACAAATAATTGTTTTTTAAAAAATGTGATCATCATCTCCTTATACAATTTCAGCATTCGGAAAGCGAAAACGAGAGTGTGCGGTCGGATCCACATTCTTTTGTCAATCACTACGCAAATGTCAACGACTCGCTGCGTCAATCCTGGAAGAAAACGAAGCCAGTGCGAAATTATTCAAGTTACACAGACTCCGAACCGGAGGGTAGTGCAGTGATGAGTCTCAATGGCGGTCAAATCATTGTCAATAATATGGCCAGATCGAGAGCACCATTGCCTGGCTTCTCCTCATTTGTCTGACAATCAACAGAGTTTTAAGGAACACGTAAAACCAAAATTCCATGGATTTATTAAGATAAGAACAAAATTGTTTTAGACTAGACATACGTTAGTAAACACGCACACACAAACCTATACAAGTTTTAATGTGTTTGTGAGTGCCAGTGAAGGTTACTGCCGTTTTTTTTTAAATTTTTGACAATGCAAAAAACTTTAAAATTAAGAGGGCTAAGCTACGATGATTTTTGTTTTAATTTAAAATATTTTTAGAATTAAATTAGCGCAATTAATTATTAATCTAATTATGTTTTTGTGTAGTGTGAATGTTGACTGAACTGTTTTATATACAATTTTATGTACTTGTTTTTTATATACATTTTCATTTAATTTAATTTAATTAAATTTATTCAATTTTTTAAAGAAAGCCAAACTTTATTTTTGAGTTTGACTCTGTGCGAAAATCTTTTTAATGAAAAACTGCAATTAAAAATGTTAATTAATTTATTTAAGAAATTAATGGTAATTCTTTTATGCGTAAATGCAAATATCTGTAACATGTGATGAAAGCTTTTGCACTGAACATGTGTATATGAGTGTCACAAAATTCAATTAATAATAATTAATAATGTATTTTGATTTGAAAATTTATTAATTTATTGCTTCAGTTTTGATGTGAAACACAATCAAATATTTTCTTTAATTATTTCAATTTGAATATGTATTTGTTT